CACAGAAAGGGCGGTCTACAGCAGAAATCTGAGTGCTTAGTTTACCTCCTATCTGCCAGGTTACCTGTTTAATGGTCACTTGATTGGATTGCCTGGCAAGCCTGACCAGACTTTTGTAATGATCAATACTTAGTTCCTGAGCCAGGTCACAGGCTGACACCCTATTCATAACTTAAATGTGCCCTTAAGACAGGATTTGTGAAGGAAAAGACAATGGGGAGGCTATTCCATTTTCCTTTGACCTTGCAGAGAAAACATTTGGTCAGTTTGGGAATCAAAAATGGTTTCAAGTGGGTCTTCCTGTGCTGATCTATGTACATGCTTGGTTGGTACATTTATGAACATTTATTATACATCTAAGACCTTAAAATTCTTATCACACCATAACCCTGGAACCTGTAGACACCCACTGAAGCTGTATTTTGGAAGATTTGGGACAGATAAAAGCAACGGCTTTTTCACACAGCTCATAGTTAAACCATGGAACTCCCTCCCACAAGAGGTAGTAGTGATGACCACCAACTTGGATTACTTTATAGGAGGATTGGAAAAATCCATGGAGGAGGAGACCATTTCTGGCTCCTAGCCATGATGGCTATGCTCTGCCCTTCACAGCTGGAGAGAGCAAGGCTTCTGAATACCAGTAGCTGGAAGCCATGGGAGGAGAGAGGGCTCCTGGGTTTGAGTCCTGCTTTCAGTTTTCCCACTGGGGCATCTGGTTTTCCATTGTGAGAACAGGATGCTGGGCTGGGAGGGCCATGTTGGGATGCGTCCAGGGAGACGGGGCATTTGGCGAACTCCGGTTCTCGGAACAGCATCAATCAGCGACTCAAGCCTCCGAAATGCTCAGAAGCTGAGCACTCTCTAATCAGCAGAGTGAATAACTTCTTACAATGGAAGAGGCAGACAGAGTCATGTGTAAGCATTATTTACAGGCGTTTATTCAGCATCAGGAACAAAGGAAAAACATGTCTGCTTCCCTTCGTGTCCAAGCAAAAAACGGCGGCATAGCAAAAGCAATATACAAACGGACAGATCCTGAAGCTGAGACTCCAATACTTTGGCCACCTCATGAGAAGAGAAGACTCCCGGGAAAAGACCCTGATGTTGGGAAATATGGAGGGCGCAAGGAGAAGGGGACGACAGAGGACGAGATAGTGGGATGGTGTTCTCAAAGCTACCAGCATGAGTTTGACCAAACTGCGGGAGGCAGTGGAAGACAGAAGTGCCTGGCATGCTCTGGTCCAGGGGGTCAAGAAGAGGCGGACACGACTAAACGACTAAACAACAACAAAGTTCCCAGCAAGCCTGTGCTGGAAGTAAACAGGCATGTGACACACAACAGCCATGCCTGTTCCTTTTAAGGTGGAACGGAACTATATCCTAACAGGCCACTGGCCTGATCCAGAAGATGCTCTTCTGATGTTCAAGGAATACACACATCCTCCTCAGTGTGGCTTATCTGGACTAGACTCACCTCTGAACATAGAACCATAGACTCATAGAATTGTAGAGATTGCCTAATAGCAATCTAGTCCAACTCCCAGCAATGCAGGAATCTCAGCTAAAGCATCCAGGACAGATGGCCCTCCAACTGCAACTTAAAAAGCTCATTTTGTTGCTTTGGGCCTAGTTCTCCAATCTACTGCGGCCAACCTGAGTCCCAGTTCTGTCTTCTGCAGCACTGGCTGCCCCTCCCAGTTTGGTGCCTTGTGACAATTGGATGAGCTTCCCCCTCCATTCCTTCATCCAAGCCATTTAACATGAAGTGTTGCTTGAGAGAGGAAGGACAAAGCTTCTCTTCTGCCCTGAAGATTATTGTGGATCAAGCTGCAAAGAGCCCCAATTCAGCGTTGTTCTGAATACCCGTCCGTTGGTTTGTGTCTGGGGAAGACAATGGGCATTTAGTCCAGCTCAGAGTCTGGAGGAACTTGACAATAGGGAAAAGATTTCAGGACCGTCTCGAGTATTCCTTCAGCCACGGCTCTTATCTGGGATGCCGTGAGTGTAATTGCTTCTTTGTAGAAAAGTATTCAATTAAATTCACAAAATGTCAAGATCTTTTATGTTTCCACGCGGCCGTCAGCGGGGGCTTCCCAGGATCTTTAAAACGCCTCCAAAATAGGCTTAAGAGAACGGTGCCTCTTACCAGCGGCGGAAACAAGAAGGGCTCCCGTGGAAGAAAGCATTCGGTGGGAAGTTAATTTTGTCCCCACACAGGTAAAAATTCAAAGGCCCAGAGAAACACTTTGAGAGCAGAAATTCAGGGCCATGTCCTTGCCATTTGAAGAGCCGTCCTCCACGCTGCCGATAACCTTTGTTAGTTCTGTGTTGGGTGGCACTGTGGTCTCAACCACTGAGCCTCTTGGGCTTGCTGATCAGAGGGTCAGCGGTTCGAATCCCCATGACGGTGTGAGCTCCTGTTGCTCTGTCCCAGCTCCTGCCAACCTAGCAGTTCGAAAGCATGCCAGTTCAAGTAAATAAATAGGTACCACTGCAGTGGGAAGGTAAACAGTGTTTCCATGTGCTCTGGTTTCCACCACAATGCTCTGTTGCGCCAGAAGTGGTTTAGTCCTGCTGCTGACATGACCCGGAAAGCTGTCTATGGACAAACGCCAGCTCCCTTGGCCTGAAAGCGAGATGAGCGTCTCAACCCATAGTCGCCTTTGCCTGGACTTAACCATCCAGGGGTCCTTTACCTTTGTGGGTTGCAGTAGAACTGCTGAGCATTAGCTGCAATTCCAACATTGCAGAGGGTTGGACTAGATGACTTTTGGGGTTCCCTTGCCATTCTGCAATTCTACGATCCTACGACCGATCAGCAGCATGCAGCCGAATGGGAGGTGGGTCACAGTAAATTAACTTCATCAGACCAGCTTCCACCAGGTCACCCCCCTTTTGCATCTGATTAAGTCTTCATGGGCAAAGTAATGAGAGGTGAAGGGGTAAAGACCCATGAAATTACCTTTTCTATTACTTCCCTTGTCATAAATACACGGCGAGGTGCTTAATTCACAAGCAGAGGTGAATGGAGCACACGGCCTTGAAATCCCCCTTGAGCTGACCCCCAGCCACAGCCTAGCTCAGCTCTTACCACGACCGGCAGCCATCTGGTGGCTTAACCCTGAAGCTGCTTTTCCAGCCTCGAGGCTGCCAGGAACTTTCCAGCAGAAATCCAGGCAGTGCCGAAAGCTGCCCTCCGGTTCCCTGGTAGTTTCATTCTGAAAGAGAACGTAAGAAGGGGTGCCTACTGGATCAGGCCAGTGGCGCATCCAGTTCAGCATCCTCATGTTGACAAATCGGGCAGCCCAATGGGAAACCAGCAAGCAAGATTCGGGCAGAAGACCCTCTCTCCTCCTGTGGTTTCCAGCAAGGGGTATTCAAGAGCACTGCTGCCTCCAGTCATGGAGACCCAGCACAACCATCACGGCTAGTGGACAGCCCTCTGCTCCATAGATTTGCCTAATCCTCTTTGAAAGCCATCTAGGGTGGAGACCACAACAAGACCTGAAAGGATGAGGGAAAGAAAGAACCTCTTGGATTTCACCTACATAAGAACCTAGGAATAAAGACACATGAAACAGTATTTTAGGTTAATGGGCGAAAAAGGCCACAACTTTATTGGTTACAGAATATGAGTGCTATTGGCTTAGGCATTGGAAACCACACGACTATATCTGACTCCTGACTCTTGGAAGGGTTAACCACCAGTAGGGGGAGCCCTGCTGATGCACATGAACTAGGAACTCCCCCAGGGTCACTGCTAGGGATCGTGTCAAGGCCATAGCCCCCCCCCGTCCAGGGCTTCGGACAGAGACCACACCCCCTGGATTCCTTTAACAGAATACCCTTGAATTAGGAGGGGTAGGTGATGGCCACTACCTCCCCTCCCTTCCACCGAAAACTCCAGTGCCTAACCGCCAAACCTTACAAAGTTTTGATGATTTGCTATGAGGTAGGTGAAAAACCAAATGGCCAGTGCCAATTTGCCAAGTGGAAAAAATTCCTACCAGGCCCCTTCAACAGGCGACCAACTGAGGTCCATAGCAATGTCAAGAGATAAAGAGCCTAACCTAAGGGAGGGAGGGAGGGAGAACTGACCGAGCAGAGAGAAAAAGGGGGCGAGCCCTCGGCCATGGGCAGTTTTCAATAACCTGTGCCACGCCCCCAGACCTTTCGGATTGGATGGACTAGGGATGACGTGGCTGAGGACCCTCCAATGACACAAGGGCTATCCTGCCCTGCGCATGTGGAGAGGGCTTGCTCCCAGCCCACAACGTCATTTCCCTGGGAATGGGAAATGGCTATGTCTCCACCTGTTGGTAATGGCCTTTCAGCGGGGATGCCCCAAGACATCATCATCATCGATCATTTATACCCCGCCCATCTGGCTGAGTTTCCCCAGCCACTCTGGGCGGCTCCCAATCAAGTGTTAAAAACAATACAGCATTAAATATTAAAAACTTCCCTAAACAGGGCTGCCTTCAGATGTCTTTTAAAAATAAGATAGTTGCTTATCTCCTTGACATCTGAAGGGAGGGCGTTCCACAGGGCGGGCGCCACCACTGAGAAGGCCCTCTGCCTGGTTCCCTGTAACCTCACTTCTCGCAGGGAGGGAACCGCCAGAAGGCCGTCAGAGCTGGACCTCCGGGCAGAACGGTGGGGGTGGAGACGCTCCTTCAGGTCTACTGGGCCGAGGCTGTTCAGGGCCGTTTTGGCACTGGAGATGAATCCAAAAATGGTTGCCCCCTCCCCACCCTGGAAGAAGGGTGAGTGAAGATCTATATCCGAAAGAAGGGGAGAATAAAAATCTGCATTGCGGTCTGACGGCCCTGTGAATCCAGCCACCCGAGGCAGTCTCCTCGCCTTGCCTTATGGGTGGACTCGCGCTGCCCTTCCAGGTTATAGCCAAGGAGTCTTTCCCAGTCATAGAATCCTAGGATTGCAGAATTGGAAGGGATGCAAAGGGCCACCTGGTCCAACTGACTGCAACCTCCTCCTGTTCTACCTGGAGATGCTGGGGTTGAACCAGGGACGTTCTGCATGCGCGACAGAAGCTCTGCCATTGAGCTGTGGCCTTAAGTAGCTTTTGTTTGTTTTAGGCACGCTAACTTTCATTGCCACGAAACATTAGGCCGCGATCTGTTCAGTGTCCTGCTGTTGGCATATCCCTTTGCTGCCCTTCCCGCACTCTCCTCCATCAGCACCAGGTGCTCAGAGGCTGGCTATGGCCCAGCAGGCAGCTTCAACCTTCACGAATGTGCCTCTGCTGCATTTGTGGTCTTCCCAGGAGGAGGGGTGGGTGGGCAGAGGCAGCCTCTTGGTTGCAAGCAGGCAGCCTTTCTGCTTGGAGGAGATAAATGATGAGCTAATTTGCTGCTAACTGAGGTGTCAAAATGCAGGATGCAACTCAGGCACATTCTTTGATCCTCCTGATGCTCCTGATGCATATTTCATGGGTCTGTCAAGATCATCAACCAGCTGCTGCTTCAATCACACACACTCACACTCACACACAGAAAGAGAGAAAGACTTTCTGCCAGGAGTGCGTGCAGGAGCCAGGCCCTGTGACCAGTTGCTGGAAGCCACAGGAGGGGAGAGGGAGAGCTTTGCAGGAGCTTCACAGGAGAGCTTCGCAGGACTGGGGCCGTCCTAAGTTTGTTCTGGAGAGGCAAGGTGTGGCCACACAAGGTGAGTCCGTTTGGTAACTCACAGCACCTGGTGGCAAGAGCCAGGAAGGGATATAAGGTCAGCATTTCCCTTCGGCTCTTTGCCACAGCAACATGTTTCCTGCATTGCTGCATTTGGCTTCTTGCTCCCTGATCCTCAGACCTTGACTTCATGACTCCTTGCTTCTCGACCCTTGGACCCTTGACTTCAAGACTCCCTGCTTCCTGACCCTCTGACCCCTGGCTTCTGGACTCTCGATCCTGCTCCCACCCCGCCATCTTGCCCCTGGTCCTGACATCCTCAGCTGGGACTCCGATCGCCCGTAGACCGAACCGTGACACTTTCCCAGGGAGGGCGATGACAACAACCTCCTGTTCAAGAGTTGGGGCAAATGTACTCAGTGAGTGACCTTTGAGACATCCAGTTCCTGGGATCACATAGCACCATAATGCCCTCTGCTGGATCAGGCCAGCAGCCTGTCTAGTCCAACATCCTGTTCTCACAGTGGCTGGACAGTCGCCTGTGGGAAATCCGCAAGCAGGATTCGAGCACAAGAGCAGCTCTCTCCCCTCCTGTGGTTTCCAGCAACTGGGATTCAGAAGCATCACTGCCTTGGCTACTTTAGAGCAGTCAGAGCATTTGTAGCCCATTCTGCATCCAAAGAGGCTCCTAGAAGGCCTCTCACGCCATCCATTAAAGGAAGAGATTCTTCTCCTGCAGACTTACAGTGGTAGCAACAACAGACCACAACACATATGAAAATGAAAAGAGACATAAATGAAAATAATATGCAAAATGCAAATCTCTTGAATGGAATGAACTCACATGAGAGTTGGTGGACTCTCCTTTCTTGGAGGTTTTAAGCCAGGGGTCAGCAACCTTTTTCAGCCCTGGGCCAGTCCACCGTCCCTCAGACCATGTGGTGGGCAGGACTATATTTTGGGGGGAAATAATGAATGAATTCCTATGCCCCACAAATAACCCAGAGACGCATTTTAAATAAAAGGAAACATTCTACGCATGTAATAACACACTGATTCCCAGACCGTCCGTGGGCCAGATTGAGAAGGCGATTGGGCCGCATCCAGCCCACGGGCCTTAGGTTGCCTACCCCTGTTTAAGCAGACGTTGGGTGGCCGTCTGTCAGGAATGCTTTGGTTGTGATTCCTGCATTGCAGGGGGTTGGACTGGATCACCGTTGTGGATCCCTTCCAACTCTACCATTCTATGATTTCCCTCCCTCCGTGCGCTTCCTTCACAGCAAGGACAGATCAGCTTCAAACTCACTTTGTCACCTGCTCAAACAGAGGGAGCTGCTGCGCCTGACTTGTTAGTGATCTTCCCTGGATGTCTGGTGCCCAAGTCTCATTCATTGGCTTTTAAATGTTGCAGTTCTACATTCAGAGTCTCTGTGTTCTCTGTCAGGCAGCGAAAAGGCCCTCGGTGAGATCAAAGCAACCTGCCTTTGATGAGGAGGGGAAAGATGCTGCAAACTGACGCAAAAGGGACCCTTTGTCATTGCAACTGCCAGCCGAGTGTTCAAACATCTCCCATTTGTTTGAAGTGTGTAATTTGGTGTCAACATGATCTGAGATGGCTTTGCAGACTAACGAGAGGGAATCAGGAAGTGGCAGTTGAATCTTCCAGCTCAGCGCTAACTTGTGCAGGAAAGGGGACCCACACAAGATGGGGAGCTGAGAAGCTTGCTTCTTCCTCTTGGGATGGACAGGAGGACATAAGGAGATCAGACCAATGACCCATCTGGTCCAGCATCCTGTTCTCACAGTGGCCAACCTGGAGGAGACAATCCTCTTTGGAAGCCATCCATGTTGGTGCCCACAGTTTAGCTACGCACGGTGTGAAGAAGGACTTTCTTTTCTCTGTCCTGAATCGCTCAGCCTTCAGTTTCCTTGGATGTTCTCCACTTTCAGTGCTGTGAGAGAGGGAGGAAAACTTTCCTTTGACCGCTCTGTCTGAGCCATGCAAAGTTTTATGCTCTTCTATAGCATTGCCTGTTACTCATCTTTTCTGCAAGTCCCAAATGTTGCATCCTTTCTTCATGGAACAGTTTCTCCAACCCCTTGACCATTTTGGCTGCTCTTTTCTGACCCTTTTCTAATTCCACACTTTCCCTTTTGAGGTGGGGTAACCAGAAATCATGAGAAGAGAAGACTCCCTGGAAAAGACCCTGATGCTGGGAAAGATGGAGGGCCCAAGGAGAAGGGGACGACAGAGGACGAGATGGTTAGATAGTGTTCTCAAAGCTACCAGCATGAGTTTGACCAAACTGCGGGAGGCAGTGGAAGACAGGAGGGCCTGTCGTGCTCTGGTCCAGGGGGCCACGAAGAGTCAGACACGACTAAACGACTGAACAACAACAACCAGATATAGGGTCATTCTCCAAATGTGGTCACACTGTAGACCTCGGCTGCTGGATGATGACAAGATTCTGACCTCCATTTGATCTTCTGGTCCAGTCCAGGACCCCATCAAGTGAAAAAGGAACATCCAGGGAAGAAGGAAAAAGGAAAAAGGAAAGAAAAAAGAGGTCCATAACCAGAAGAAGAACCTCACTCATTTGTTTATTACCCTTTTATCCCTTCCTCCAGGGAGCTCTTGATAGGGAGAAGGGCTGTAGCTTAATGGTAGAACATCTGCCTTGCAAGCAGAAGATCCTATGTTAGACCCCCAATGGCCTCTCCAAGGAGGACTGGGAACGCCCCCCATCTGCACTACTGCCAGTCAGTGCAGAGAATGCTGAAATAGATGGATCCCAATGTTCTGACACCATAGAAGGCAATTTCCTATATCCCTATAGTACATCTGCCCCCATGTTATCCTGTGAAGCTCATTTTGTCCACAGTGGCTTTTACATCTAAGTAGAGGCTGGATGCGGGTGGCGCTAGGAGCCTAGGACTTGCCGATCAGAAGGTCAGCGGTTCGAATCCCCGCGACGGGGTGAGCTTCCATTGCTCAGTCCCTGTTCCTGCCCACCTAGCAGTTCAAAAGCACGTCAAAGTGCAAGTAGATAAATAGGTACCGCTCCAGCGGGAAGGTAAACGGTGTTTCTTTGCGCTGCTCTGGTTCGCCAGAAGCAGCTTAGTCGTGCTGGCCACATGACCCGGAAGCTGTACGCCGGCTCCCTCGGCCTATAGAGCGAGATGAGCGCCACAACCCCAGAGTTGTCTGGGACTGGACCTAATGGTCAGGGGTCCCTTTACCTTTACCTTTGGAGGTTGGAAGGCTGCCTGTCAGGGGCCATTTAGCAATGATTCCTGCATTGCAGGGGGTGAAGCTCTGTGATCCCTGGAACCCCTTCCAACCCCACAGTTCTGTGATCCTGAAGTCTGTCAGTCCTCCTCAGAAGCACGTCCAGGATTTAATTACCCAGCCTGCTCAGTTGTTCCCTCTTCCCTCAGCGCGTAGCCCCTTCGATCTCATTACATCTTTCCCATTATATCTGGGCACTGCAAGATTTAAGAGGCTGCTCCGTCTCCACCACATAATGAGTCCGGTGGCTCAGATTTCAGAGATGGGGGTGCCATGTGGCTCCTGATGAGCAGCCTGGATTTATTATGCCTGTATAAATCCTGATTGTCCCATCATATTAGGAAATTAACATAGTTGTCCACTGGGAGACAGAGCGAAATCCACCTTGCTTTACAGAGAATGGAGATTTGGCAGAAATTGAGCTATTGAAATGGAGGAAAGAGCTTCCCAGAACAAAGCCCTCGACTGAGCAATGTCTCTGTCCGTCAGTGACTCATCCCTTTGTTCTACATTAAAGCACCAGATCATATTTTAAACATGGAAGGCTCTGGGATAGCCTTGGAGAGCTTTTGGTTCTCCATGCCTGTCTGACAGTCTACAGATTAGTCTTCAGCTGCTTTTATTTGGCACTAGGGTTCCGTTCATAGAAGGACAGAATTGTAGAGTTGGAAGGGGTTCCAAGGATCATCTAGTCCAGCCCCCCTGCAATACAGGAATCACAACTACAGGATCTCTGACAGATGGCCATTCAACCTCTCCCTTGCAGATGACCGCAGTGCCTGGAGACAGGCAGCCCAATTGTGTATCCATATTAGCGACCAGAGGAGAACTGGCCACTGGGAGGAGCGCAGAGAGAAGAAACATCCTGGTGCATCTGCAGCAACATAACTGGATGCCTTCATCTGCCCCCGCTGCAGCAAAACATGTCTCTCCAGCATTGGTCTCTACAGCCACCGCAGGCACTGCAACCTTCTAGCAGCTTGACCTCACCCCTCATCTCCTTCCTTGTCAATGGAAACCATTGGCTTGAGTTTTCCCTTCTGAAGCATCCAAAAACAAGCTTGATCCATCTTCCATGTGGTAGCTCTTTAGATATTTGGAGATGACTCTCATATCTCCTCTCAGTCTCCTCTTTCCCCAGCTAAACATACCCAGCTCCTTCAACCACTCCTCATATGGCTTGGTTTCCAGACCCTTGATCATCTTGGTTGCCCTCCTCTGCACATCTTCTAGCTTGTCAACATCCTTTTTAAATTGTGGTATGCAGAACTGGAAACAGAACTCCAGGTGGTGTTCCAAAGTCATAGACTTTCTTGGTTTCCATCATATTGTAGAGATTACTTTTTTTAAAAAAATCATAGAATCATAGAGTTGGAAGAGACCACAAGGGCCATCGAGTCCAACCCCCTGCCAAGCAGGAAACACCATCAGAGCACTCCTGACATATGGTTGTTGAGCCTCTGCTTAAAGACCTCCAAAGAAGGAGACTCCACCACACTCCTTGGCAGCAAATTCCACTGTCGAACAGCTCTTACTGTCAGGAAGTTCTTCCTAATGCTTAGGTGGAATCTTCTTTCTTGTAGTTTGGATCCATTGCTCCGTGTCCGCTTCTCTGGAGCAGCAGAAAACAACCTTTCTCCCTCCTCTAGGTGACATCCTTTTATATATTTGAACATGGCTATCATATCACCCCTTAACCTCCTCTTCTCCAGGCTAAACATGCCCAGCTCCCTTAGCCGTTCCTCATAAGGCATCGTTTCCAGGCCTTGGACCATTTTGGTTGCCCTCCTCTGGACACGTTCCAGTTTGTCAATGTCCTTCTTGAACTATGGTGCCCAGAACTGGACACAGTACTCCAGGTGAGGTCTGACCAGAGCAGAATACAGTGGCACTATTACTTCCCTTGATCTAGATGCTATACTCCTATTGATGCAGCCCAGACTTGCATTGGCTTTTTTAGCTGCCGCGTCACACTGTTGGCTCATGTCAGCTTTGTGGTCAACCAAGACTCCTAGATCCTTTTCACATGTACTGCTCTCAAGCCAGGTGTCCCCCATCTTGTATTTGTGCCTCTCCTTTTTTTTGCCCAAGTGCAATACTTTACATTTCTCCCTGTTAAAATTCATCTTGTTTGTTTTGGCCCAGTTCTCTAATCTGTCAAGGTCGTTTTGAAGTGTGATCCTGTCCTCTGGGGTGTTAGCCACCCCTCCCAGTTTGGTGTCATCTGCAAATTTGATCAGGATGCCCTTGAGTCCATCATCCAAGTCGTTGATAAAGATGTTGAATAAGACCGGGCCCAAGACAGAACCCTGTGGCACCCCACTAGTCACTCTTCTAAACAGGGCATTTGAGCAGATGACCCTACAGTTTCTATACCAGCCAGACAGCCAATCCCTTGTCCAGGACACTCTATTCCATTCTGTTCCTAGGTAAAGGTAAAGGACCCTTGGACAGTTAAGTCCAGTCAAAGGCGACTCTGGCGTTGCAGCGCTCATCTAGCTTTCAGGCCGAGGGAGCCAGTGTTTGTCCACAGACAGCTTTCTGGGTCATGTGGGCAGCATGACTAAACTGCTTCTGGCGCAACGGGACACCGTGACGGAAACCAGAGCGCATGGAAACACCATTTACCTTCCCGCCACAGCAGTACCTCTTTATCTACTTGCACTGGTGTGCTTTCGAACTGCTAGGCTGGCAGGAGCTGGGTCCGAGCAACAGGAGCTCACCCCCACCAACCTTTTGATCAGCAAGCCTAAGAGGCTCAGTGGTTTAGACCACAGCTCCACCCACGTCCCTATTCCTACTACGACTCAGGCTGCATTAAATGGCCATGGATTGTGAGCAGTCCTCTTTGAGGGATTCTGCTGTTGTTTGCGAGGTTGTGTGTGTGTCTGTCTTGCACTCCTTTTCCTGAATATTTTGTACTTCTGCAACCATTGAGGTTTTCCCCAACCCCAACAATACTTAAGAACATAAAAATGAGCCTACTGTTCTCTCTCCTCTTTTAGAACCATCCAAGATGTTGCCCACCTCTGTCTCCTGAGATTCCACAGTCTGACTTCCCTCTCCCTGTGGGTGGTGCTGTTCTGGCTTCATAATTCATGGTACTCATTCTCTGTTCTTGGGAACGAAAGGGAATGATGCATTTTCAACTCTGCCTGGCCAGAGAAAATGCTGTTATTAAAGCCTTCCTGGACTGTTGTCCCTGTAAATGAAGCTCTCATCCTGTTTGCGGGTTCAGTTGGTTTTATTCCTTCCTTTTGACCTTGACTGGAGAATTAGAGAGTAATTTCCCTGTTGAAATAGCCTGCTTGTGGATTTCCCCAGGTCCGTTTATTTTCTTGTATGGGTGTTTAATTACTGTTTAAGCCTCACTTTTCCCCTTTTCTTTTTGTATAGCAAGATATAGCACTATCTTGCTATTTTAAACAAAGGGGGAAACAAAGAGAAGAAACCAAACCCTCATTTCTTCCCAGCAAATCAGATCTTTGGTGCTCTTCCCTGGAAGAATGTAGGGGAGAGGTGGCCAGGATGGCACCCGTGCCAGAGTACCAACATGGTTTCTTGGGCCCGGGGCACTGTATGTGGATTGGGCCCCTGCATTACCGCCTCCCCCCCCAGCACTCTATACATTTACAATTCCCCGAGATGTTTTCCTTGGCTTTTGCCCCTTGAGAAGTATATTTTCAGGACTCAGGGTTTTGTTTTGTTTTTTGTAAATTTGGGTTGCCTTGCTCTGTTTTTAATATTGTGTTTTGATAGTGGTGATGTTTTTAATTGTTCTAAGCAGCCCTGGTACCTTAGGGCGAAGGCCAGGTAATAGCTTCTAATAATAGTGGTAATAATAAGTATATTAAGCAGGCTTGTCTGTAGTGTACAATAATGGCACACAGAGGAGTCTTTCCCATCACTGGTCTGGCACAGAAAGGAAAGGAAACTTTCGCATCCGTGGTCCATACAAAGTGCTGCAGCACAATTCTCCAGAATGCCCCAGAAACCCTCGCAAGAAATGAGATTAGGAGGAATCATAGAATTGTGGAGCTGGAAGGTACACCAAAGGCCATCTAGTCCACTCTGGTGTGCAATGCAGAATAAAAACACAGCAGTCGTGGAAATTTAACTCTGTCAGTACTCTGAATGAGAGAGGAGAGGGCCTTGCTGCCTTCACCCACCGCAGAAATCTTCCGATTCCACCCAGCTAAGGGAGCTGGGCATGTTTAGCCTGGAGAAGAGGAGGTTAAGGGGTGATATGATAGCCATCTTCAAATATATAAAAGGATGTCACCTAGAGGAGGGAGAAAGGTTGTTTTCTGCTGCTCCAGAGAAGCGGACACGGAGCAATGGATCCAAACTACAAGAAAGAAGATTCCACCTCAACATTAGGAAGAACTTCCTGACAGTAAGAGCTGTTTGACAGTGGAATTTGCTGCCCAGGA